ATTCGGTGACCGGGAATGCAGAAGGATATATGTACACAAGTTAGCTACTGGCCGGTTACAATCGACCTTTTTCGTTTGGGCTTTGTTTAGCCATTACAGACCGCGTGATATTCTCTGGAGGAAAAAAAATCCATACGTATTCACGTGACTATCTGAAAATTTCTCAAGACTATGATCACCTGGGTGGGTACATTTCACTGACCCCCAGTCCATGGACTACCCTCGATGGACTACCTAAATGGACTACCCATATGGACTACCCTAAATTACCTACCTTCACGCGAGCGCATCGAGCGAAAAGAGGGACTTCACTCTCTTTTGTACCAGACGCGTTCACCCGGCGACAACCTGTTAAAAATAAACCAATATGTCACTTGATAACTAATAAATCCACCTCAATTTGTCGCCCGCTATATTCCCACGGCTGTTATTAAAGAGAAAACAAAAATGCTTCGAGAATCTACCTGTATCTGGACTGCTTGATCGCTGTTGAGTGACGCACGGTTGGTGTTGTTGTGTAGCTTTAGTTTAAGCTTCAATGTACTGTTCTAATTACCTGAATATCGCAATATCCGTGAAAATTACTACACTGTAGAGCTGGGCCCAGAGATATTACCTAGAATGTAACTATTTCCTGCTGACATAGAAGGAAATAGTTACACTTACGGACTAAAGAACTTGCATCCGTGCATGCTTTTATTCTCAGACAGTCGTATGGGCGAAGCCCTTTGACTTGTGAGAACTAACTCCTCAGCTAAAATCTTTCAGAAGAGCTCTTCGCAAATTGCTATTTGATATATTAGAAAAGGAGGATGAGTATATTGAAAGCCTCATGATTGTTAGTTATCAAGTGACAGATCAGTTTATTTTTAACAGGTTGTCGCCGGTTGAACGCGCCTGGTACAGAAGAGAATGAAGTCCCTCTTTTCGCTCGATGCGCTCTCGTGAAGGTAGATAATTTAGGGTAGTCCATATGGGTAGTCCATTTAGGTAGTCCATCGAGGGTAGTCCATGGACTGGGGGTCAGTGAAATGTACCCACCCAGGTGATCATAGTCTTGAGAAATTTTCAGATAGTCACGTGAATACGTATGGATTTTTTTTCCTCCAGAGAATATCACGCGGTCTGTAATGGCTAAACAAAGCCCAAACGAAAAAGGTCGATTGTAACCGGCCAGTAGCTAACTTGTGTACATATATCCTTCTGCATTCCCGGTCACCGAATTGCCTTCGCCATTTTGTTTAGCTCAATCCCCCGCGTGGTCATTGACTTGACCCTGGCTTCAAAAAAGAGTGCTCCTTCGACAAAGAAAGATGTCCATGTTCATTAGACTGATTAGCGATCGCGATATTTGACAGTTGTTTGTTTAGTCTTCTCCTTTCTCTTTTTTTTTTTTTACTTTTTAGTCGGCCTTTTTTCCTTTCATTGCCACGGTAATATTTGGAAGGTTAACATTAAAAATTTCGTCACCGCGAACAAAAAAACAACGGTAACTCAAATCTCTATAAGTTGTCATCGTTATTATTGTCTTTTCATGAGGGGTCCGTAATGGGGGGTCCGTAGAGGGTCCGTGGACCGGTCCGCATAGGGGTCCGTGGACCAGGTCCGTAGGAGTTCCATAGACTGGGGGTTAGTGTTTTCGGGATACCCCGCAAAGTAGCTAATGAACGTTAACATCACACGCTGCACGTGCCATCGCACATATACTGTTAAAAGTTTGCGCGCTTGGCCGTGAATAATACGTTGATTGCACGTGTAGCTTGCTGTAGCATGGATAATGGTGTTTTGTAACATAGTGTTAATTAACTTGCTGGGGCTTAGCCACTCTTTGACTCGTTTGAGGCCTGTTCCCTAAGAAACTTCAAGTTTTGTTTCAATATTCGTGAGAGTCGTATTCTAAAGGTTAAGCAGGTGGTAAAAAATTTGTAGACCCGGGCCGACAGGCACGCTTCTCCTTACTACATATGGTTACTTAGATTAATTGACCAATCCCCATAGGGCTTTTCAGGAAGTACTCAGCTACGCACGTATCATTCTTTCCAGTCGAACCTGTATTAAGCGGAGTTATATAAAGCAGTTACCCTTTATTAAGTGGTCAGTTGTCAAAGTCCCGAAAATTGTTTCCCCTTAATTAATGTAATCTTCGCCTTTGTTATGTGATCGCCTCTGCGGATTTCCCTTTCGTAAACGGTCGTTGCCATGTTTAAAACGGTCGTTGCCAATTTGAAATGGTCGTTGCCATTTGTCGAAACAGTCGTTGCCATTTTGTAATGAATGATTGAGTTCTCATTCTTGATTGAGTCCCAACGGCCCTTTTTTTAACGTCCTCTACCTATATCTAACGGTCACTTAAAGTAGAACCACTGAAAAAAAACCAAGAAAAATCTTTAAGGTAAAATCTCATACATTTTTATCTCCCAAAAATCAATGTTAGTTGTATTTTTGAGTGAGGTTTCTACATTGAGTGGTCAATTATTAAATGGCGATTTTTATCGATCGTTAAAATATCCCTATTCCGCGGAACTTGTATTAGGCGTGAAGTTCACGCCAATCCCCGTGGGTGACCGCGGCTTAATACAAGTTCGACTGTACATTAGTGCACGTTTTTCCAGTTTCACAACCAAACACATAGATTCGACAGCAACCAACATTAGTTTCACTCTTTAGATTCTCCTCTACACCACTTGCATTCCCCTCTCTCTCCGAAAAGAAAATCTACGTGGAACTACAGTCAGTAATTTTGTTAGTTTCTCACGTAGCAGGAGACATGGCTGCTTGAATGAAATGAGTGTTCTACTGGCAAAGTTACAAGTTAGACGTGTCCCTTATACGTCTGGGTCCCACTCACGAGAAGTTTGTCCTTTGAATTTGCCCAAAAGGTTAAAGACACCTACATAAAGGTTCGCAATACAATATAAAATAAACAAGAGAAAAAATCATCCTCCCGCATGGCCTACTGTTTATAGTTCGTATGGAAAACAAAGTACAGGCTTTCAAACAATTTTGAGAACTTCTAAGCGAACTTTTTGGAAATATCTTAGTGAATCTAGGTCTATCGAAACGGTATATCGAGGAACGGATGACCGTGGAGATACTCTTAGGCCTGGGAACTAGAGAAGGTGCAGTTTCGGTTCAGAACAAATTACGCGTCTTTTTTCCATTGTATTGTTCTTGGGGAAGCATGGCTACTTTAGCGGAGATCGTTGGTCTGGATGAACAATTACTAAATGAATAATTTGGTCTCCAGCCCCGTATCCGGTGCAATCCGAGCCAAAGCGACAATTTGTTGCATTTATCACCAACTGTCCTCTTAGACGACAACGAGTTGAGAGAGGGAGGATTCCAAGACAGAGGTGCAAAAGACGTTCTGAGTCGCGTAGCAAAACATATTTGCGAGTCAGAAGATCCTTCTCTATTTCAAGTCCCTGAAATAACCGACTACCACATGGGATATGCGAAAAGATCCGCGAACAAAGCGAGTAACATGGCCATCGATGAAGAAGCAGCTAAAGTCTGGATGACTTATATGAATCTGTCGCGTCTAAATCAAGATCAGTCGCGAAATCCCGATTCGGAAGGCGAGGAGTCGCAGGATTCAACTTCATCAGATGAAGACATGGATATTGACCCTCCAACAGCGGCAGATACGTCAAATGAAAATGATGAGGATGTGGTCAGCCCACAGGAGAGCGGACTAAAATTTCACTTGAAAGGTTCGCTCATTCTTTTATTCTCGATTCTGTTGATTTTCTTCGATAAAAAGAAGAAGAAGAAGAAGAAGAAAAATTCCGCAAGTTCGGATGATGAAAAACCAAAGATTGGTCCGAATAAGGTCTCAGATTTTCTCTTATTTTGGATAATTCCATATTTGCTCAGTTACACACAACGAAAAGTACGAGAGATCAAGGAGCACCACCGAAAACGTTTAAGACCAGAATTTCCACCAGTGTGCAGAAAGTCGACTCTTGATATCATCGAAGGTGCAATGTTATCTTGTGGAGTTTCAGGTGAACTCAAAGCAACTATTGTGGGAAAATACAAAGATTTTTATAGTACAGAAAATCTGGAATACGAGTACGAATTGTTGCAAAGTCCCGAAGGGACACCTATTATCCTGGTCCCAAAGGATTATAAAGTCACGCACATGCCATTGAAACTTAAAGACGTCGGAACTAAGTGGCGAGAGCTTGGTGATACAAACCTCCTTACAGTATTTCTTAGCAAGTTCATTAAGAGCAGGAAAATCCAAAGGGATTTCTTCGACTCATTGGATTTTGTGAAAAATCGGCAGGGTATCGACTATGCCATCATATTACCAGATGAGAAAACATTCGTTGAACTTAAAGATGCCTTTGAAAGAGAAAGTCACGATTATTTGATCACTCCGAAAGTAGGACGAAACCTCATCGTACCCAGACTAGGGTTGGTTACTACCACTGAGAAGCATTTAAGGGTTTGCTTCACCTATTTCCAGGGTAAGTGTACACTTTCTTATCGCAAATATGCATTTTTTCCTGTATGCTGAACTTCAAGTTATTTGAAAACACAAACATATCGTTATCAGAATGGCCTTTGTTATCATATAAGGGGCAAAATTACTGAATTGTGATTGGTCAAGACAGAGGGCATTTTTTCTTAATTTTTGTCATTGCCCCAGGCAAAATTACTTGAAAATGATTGACTGAAAATTGCTTAGCAACGGCTGCCAAGGTAAAGAAATTTCTTTTGTTTTGTAACAATGGGGTCCCGTTTTGCACGAGATCAGTAAGAAAACATTTTTCCCCTAATAATATAAACAAGAAATCACATGGTTCCTTGTAAAATTAAGGATTTGGGCAATTTCAGCAACTTCCGAAAACAAGCGTGATATTAATCCTTAATTTTACTCAGCCCCATGCGATTACCTATACTAACAGTTTCCGGCGCTGTATTCAGGGGTTTCATTAAAATTTGGAGCAGGAAGGCATCTGGATTTCACAGGCGGGCATCTGTCTGCAAGGCCTGAAGGGCCTTGCCATCTAGGGGGTCTGGGGCATGCTCCCCCTGAAATTGAAATTCTATAATTGCAGAGATGCATTTTCCACCATTTTGAAGCACAAACTAACATCCAAAAGTTAGCAGCTCTTTTTAAATTATGATTTGTTGCATCAGTCAACAGATAAATTAGTTTTACAATTCACAAATTCATAATTTTTAATGATTAAAACTCTACATTGACTTGCCCCTTACCAAAAGTATACAGGTATACTCAATCTGTACCTGTTATGATGTAAAACCCAGCACATATACATTGCAACAACTACATTGTCTTACCTACATTGCAATGTCTACTGAACAAAAACAATGATTAATATTGAGTAGAAAAGTACTGAATGCTACTCCAAGTCACTATCAGCATCTGAGCCATAATCAGAGTCAGGATCAGAGTCTACATCTGGAAGGTCCAGATGTAGACATTGTATTAAACATTGTGTTTTCGACAAAGGAGACAGAATAAGCCATCATTTTCCATATACAGAAGCCACCAAATGCCAGTGGTTTTCTCAAAGGCTAGCGAATGATCCTCGAGCCAGATATGTTGAAATTTTCTCTTGAAACTCTTCTGCTTGTTTTCATCAAGCGTGGACAATTTTGTACAATCTATCTTTTTACACTGATAATATGAATGTAGATGTCCCCTTAATTCAAGTTTAGCTATTTCCGCCAACATAACCTCGCAATCCATCGATTTGCACAAAGATTGGTTTGCAGGACATTGAGATAATGACGAAGTTTCGGGCGAGACAGTGTTGGGAAGATTTGCTTTTGCAACATTTGGTTGCATGGTAAGGTCCCTAGAAGCCGTTTTAGTAACATCATGTATTTCATTATTTGCCAAGTTCTCAGTAGGCGTTGTTTCTGTGCAGCTATCATTTGCTGGGATCTCAGAAGACATGGTTTCTGTGCAAATATAGAGTGGAATATAAGTGTAAATGATTGTTAAGTTGTTCGTTTCAGAGGGTATATGATTTCAATAAAAGTATAAAAAACGCAAAGGTGTTGGCGTTAGATTTCTTCTATTTTCTAATCTTACTAAGATGGATTTCCTAACAAACACACGGGGTTTAAAAGTTCTTTTCTTTACAGTTGCTGTGAACGAAAGATTTCTGTTACCACACGAGTAGAGTTTTTGCATTTCACCACAGACACAGACGAACATTTTGTCAGAGGGAAAGTTGGGAGCTTCTACAACAAATTGACTTTCAGTTCCCATCGCTCGCAGAAGATTCAAATTTCAAGAGTAAATCAGAAAATAATGGAGCTTTTGGGACAATTTTCAATCACCATAGGAGCAGCATGTCTTTCTGAATATAACTCAAACTTTAATTTAGAGCGAACTGGTTGTACCATTTGCATAATGATATGTCTTGAAACTTGAGCCGGCGGGGAAGAAATTGGTCACGTGCTAGGCAACCAGTTGAAAGAGCTAGCCAACTAAGATAACAATCTTAGAGAAAATAAACTTCGTGTATTTGATAAAAAAATGGAAGAATTAATTTATTCCAAGTACTGCTATTTTTTTTACTTTATCTCATTTGTGAAGGGCAGAGATATGCCTTCTGGAAAAACAAAATCGTCTCCATGGAAACTAACAATATTTCAAAGGGTCCATCAAAAAATTGTTTCCTCGTAATTATCATTCACATATTATGAAAACATTACACTCTTCACTGAACAGGAATAAAGCCATTTAGCATATCGAAAGAACAAAATAAAGGCATTTAACAAATTGAGACAAAAGGGTTAAATTGCAAAGAATTATACTCACCTTCTGACCTTTTCTTAGGCAGAGGTAAGTCGGTTCGAGCAGGAAAATATTGGGCGATTGACCTCGTCCTTTTGCCAGTCGCCATCGCATAAACACGTGTATTTGCTCGCGATTTTGAAAATGTCATGTGGGCTTTCATGCAGAACATTTGTTTTTGCAATGCATTGTGGGGCGAATTCACTTCTCGCCATGATTCCACTTTGCAGATGATGATAAAAGGTCAATAACACGTCTAAGGAAATAATATTTTTTTAAGTTTAAATATATTTTTTTTAGAAGACAATAGAATACCACCCACTCACAAGCTGAGAAAACAAAAAATTATACAGAAAAATTGTACTGGTCCAGCAGTGCATTTAATGACTATTGCACATGTTCAACTGCTGACTGCAGACTGGTAATGTGGATTAACTTCACCAACAGTCAGAAGAATCAAATACCCAATGTATCTAGTACACATCTTAGCACCTGATATTTACACAATGTTCTCCCACCCTTGAAAGGTGCAACCTCTAATGTCACACTGAATAGTAATGTGGTCCAAAATCTTGCTCTTTGGTAGAAAATCATCTCGAGTTTTGCAAATAGGTAAAATCTAGCAGTTATGTACGCAGTATGGTTAGACTGTATTTTTTGTTTTTACAATGTTTTCTTTCTTCTTATTTTCAGGCAGTAAGGGAGAGCAAGTGGCTGCTATGTTCAGAGCCATTGGTGCTCATTTCCTGGATCACTTTTGCTTAATTATCTTGCATGGCTTGAGCCGGAACAAAAGTGACCCAAACTGCAACATTGGAAGTCTTTATCCTGTGGGCATTGCCAGAAAGGTGACTTTCAGGGGCAACAGTGTTCAGCTGGAGAAGAAAACAAAGAAATCTGAAAGTAAGAACACAGGAAAGAAGGATTTCTCAGCCAGCCAGGGTAAATTTTGTAGAGCAGAATTTCCCATAACTTACAATTTATGGGAGACTGAAACTAGAAACACAGAGGTAGTGAAGAATCTGATCTCACGAGCTGAAGCCAGTTTAGGATTTAACCCAAATTTTGAACGTGATGCACTTCTTCATGTTGCTTATGCCACAAAAAGCCATGAAAAAAAGCTAAAGGAAGAGCCATTTGGAGCTTCTATGGCACCTAATAAGGAGGCTCTAAGCAAGTACCAAATACGAGCTGTAAATCTAGATGGAGCTTTCCTTGGCAATGTTGTGAGAAGTGGACGTAAGGAGAACATTGCAGTTGTCCTTGCCATCAAAGATGTCTGTGGGAGAGAAGGCTGTTGTTTTGCAAATGTACGCCAGGCCATTCAATCCATCATAGTCAATTTTGTAAGGGCAGCTGTTGTTGCTGGCCTCCCCAAAGGTGAGAGCAAATAATTTACATGACCATGCCCAAGATGTTCCCAATCTTTCTGAAATTTCCAGCCATCTGTGTCCCAGATAAATGGTCCTGATAGCAGGACCATAGCTAAGCAATTGAACCTTATGATGTATGAATTCATAGTTCACAGCCTCCCTATATTTCCTCTAAAACCTATTTATTTTACAGGATCCTATAAAACTCCAATATTTGGGTAAAACTTCTTATATTCCCTGTAAATAGTGCCTAGGGGTTTAAATAAAAAAATACAATGAGGAATTCCAGTCAAGTGATTTTAAGGGTTCATGTATGGGTTCATGTATGTCATTCTGACATGGTGTGTTATGCTTGATCAATTCAATTCAATTCGATTCTTTATTTCACAATATAAATGACATTTACAGCCTGGTTTATATTAAAGATAAGAGAAAGAGAAAAAAATAAAGGTAATATTTGGCCATAAAAATAAGGTTGAGATGTGCACAGTGTTCAAGGTAGCAAGAGCTTTCTAGTTGAACACCATAATGGTCAGATAAATAGCAGCCTATACCAAGAATAAATCAGCAGTAAACTAAGGTAAAGCAAAATAATCAAGTTTGATTAAGCAAAAGTTGATGTTTCCATTCTTTCTTAAAGGTAAAGTCTGTTTACGAGCCAGTGGCCCATAAGGCCAGCGCTTAACTCTGGTTTCTGTAGCATGAAACGACTAGGAGTATTTCTACTCCCCCCTGGATGGGATGCAAGTCCATCGCAGGGTTACCCCCAGCATTAAATTGCCAGTACCCATTTATACACCTGGGTGAAGAGAGGCACTGTGAGAGTAAAGTGTCTTGCCTAAGAACACAACACAATGTCCCGGCCGGGGCTCGAACCCGGACCACTCGATCCAGAGTTGAACACACCAAAGGTATTGTGGGAAATATATTTAAGATTGGTGGGTATGGTTTCTTAGAAATTGAACCAGAGAATTTGAATGATGATTTTCCCATGTTATTAGATACTCTTGACCAGCAAATCTTGTATTATAATTATGTTTTTCACATGCTGGGGTCAGGACATCAAGGAAGACATCCGGAATGCTATCAGTTCTTATAATCTTATATGCAAGGTAGCATATTCTGAATTTGTACATACCATCCAATTTTAAAATTCCTAACAGTTTAATAATAGGGAGTTGACAAGCACTCTCCCTGGCATGTGCAAAGAAGATGCTTCAGAGACATTTATTCTGCTTAATACAAAGACAATTTTGTTTAGTATTGGTGGCACAGCCCTTGCCAATAATACCATTATAGCTGAAATTGGGATATATCAAAGCATAGTATACTTGTTTTAGCCTGTTAATTATAAAATATATTTGATATCTTAATTTTAATTAGTGAGAATTGCAGCATTTTTTGCTATTTTGTTGTATCTGTGGCTACTAATTTAGGTGCTTATCGATATAGACTCCCAGATATTTTATATAATCTTTCGGTTCAATGTTTTCAATATTTATTGTATGATGGTGTCTAGGAGAGGAAATTAACATGTAGTTAGTTTTTGCGAAATTTTTTATATCTGGGGTACTTGTAATGACATCACATAAAATGCACGTGGAAATAGCGATTAATTTTGAACCATGCCTGTTGACAGAGGTAAATAATTCCACCATTGAGTTGCATTTGTCTGTTGAGGTGAAAGAAAAGCTTGCAATCATAGATTCAAAATGTGGATTACTCTTTGAAGCTAAACCATTCAACAAAGTGTGAATCACTCATTGAAGCTAACCATTCAACTGCAAACTCAAATGACTGTTTGAGCTTTGAGACAAATTCTGAGTTGATTTCATCCGTGGAGAGCATCCATTCGACTGTCAAGTCCAATTGTTTTTTAACCTTTGAGTCAAAAGAAAACTTCTCATGCACAACATTAAGTTGTCATTTGCTCAATGATGTTGAACATTCTTCAAAATGTGTTGGTCTTGCCAAAAGGCGGCAGTTCGTGAGTTTTAAAGGACAAAACCTTGATTGTGATATTTACGGCATAAAATATGGAGAGCAACATCAAGGGTTGATCAATGCGAGCGACACCCTTTATCCTTGCCTTTCTTTTTGGTCAACATTGAGGAATAATTTCACAACTTACAAGCAGGCAATTGTCATTTTTACAAAAATGTGACTGACTATTTTACGTGAATCAAATGGTTCATTTTATACTTTAGGTAGGTAGGTAGGTAGGTAGATAAGTTTATTTCTCTTATTTTCACAGAAAATCTGAATTACAAAGTGGTTACAATTATTTAACAAATATATAAAATTACATGCGTGGATAGGGACTGGGCTACAATGGGTTTAGAAAACAGTGATGCTATGCCAAATTCTAATGGCACAGCAACTGTATTAAAATTTGGAGATTTGGGTGAACATGGAACATTCTTTTGTTCTGTAGCAAATGAACTGACATGTGAGTGTTTTGAAACTATCCCTCTATGATGCCAGCACCCACTTTCACATTGAAACTACATGTTATAGATTTGTTTAAGCTCATGATTCATATCAGATTCAAGGTTATGTGGGTTGTCACTAGTAAAAACTAGGTTAATATCATCAACAAAACTTCATACTGAAAGTTCGTCAGCACAATTTGGTAAATCATCAACATAAAGTAGAAATAAAAGTGGACCTAAAGTTGAACCTTGAGGTATACCACAAGTTATATTTTCATTGTCAGATCAAGTGATCAGAAGTAGATTTGAACAAATTGGCTACAGTTTTGAAAGTAATTCTTAAACCATCTATGTGAGACTCCTCAAACACCATTTAAGAAGAGCTTAGAAAGTAGTGTTGTGATTTACTGTGTCAAAGACCTTTGACAAGTCAAGAAATAGACCACATGTGGCTTGCTTTCTATCAACTGCTAGCTTTAAGTTGTATGTAACTTCAAGAATAGCCTGTTCAGTGGAGTATCCTTTCTTGAATCCAAACTGATATATTTGTATAAAATTTGGTGTTTTTCTATGAAGGAATATAGTTGGTTATAAACAAGTCATTCAAGTACTTTACTGAATGGTGAGAGAGTTGCTATAGGGTGATAATTGCTAGGGTCTATAGCATCTCCACTTTTATATACTGGAGACATCTGAGAGACTTTTAATATATCAGGAACAGTGCCAGTTTCTATAGACTGGTTATAGATGTATGTTAGATGTATTGACAGTGGTTGAGCAGCTATTTTGATTAACTTGTTAGGAATATCTAGGGATGACTTCTGGTCATTTAAACATTTAAATAATGAACAGACTTGGGTTTCATGCATTAACATAGGACATAACAAAGCTGCCTACCAGGGTTGATTTAATGAACTGGGTAGGGTTCCCTTCACAGTGCACAATCTTTGTAGCTAGGGTAATGGACCTACATTAACAAAATGTTTGTCAAATTGATCTGCAATCTCAGTTTGTTAATGTAAACTCTATAATGTTGCACACAATTTTTGATATGGGGTTTTGCCACTTATAGTTGTGGTGTACCAATTAATTTCCAAGATGCCTTCAGATTATTCTTACATTGGTCAAAGTGTTGTGGGAAGTAAGTCCTCTGACTTACTTATATTTTTACTTATATTTTTAAGCCAGTTTAGTTTATTAACAAACTTTTTATATTCTGCCACCTTATCTGGATTATCGGAAAGAAAATGTGTTTTGTACATAGTGTGTTTAGTTTTGATTGATTTAAAAATGCCATTTATTATCCAGGGCTCTGTAGACAACTTTTAGACATATTCGTCAAATTTGTGCTTGTTTGAGAAGGTTAATTATTTTAGATGTTATCTCATGTAAATCTTTACATTCACTGTTAATAGCATTCCAGTTGACTGCATTGATATCTTCTAGATAAGATTCCTGATTAAAGTTGCAATAATCTCCGTAGTATCTATCTTGGTTTTGTTTTATTTTTCAACTGGTATATATTCTGCAATATAAATGACTGGAAGGTGATCTGAGATATCAACAGTTACAATTCTAGAGAAAATTTTTCTCAAGTTATGTGAGGTGTAAATGTGATTGATTAGTGTAGCTGTGTGATAGGTCCATCGTGTTGGTTTTGTTGCCACAGGTAATAAATTATTAGAATACATCATATCAAGATAAGCGTCTGGAGGTGGATGAATACTACATTTAAAGAAGTCTATAAATTATTCATATCACCAAGGATATACAATTGGTACTTATTAGCATTGAATTGCTTAATTGTCTCATTAAATTTATCTTTAAATTCATTGATGGTTGCCCCTGGATATTTATAGATACAGCCAACCAAAGTGGACTTTTTGTTATAAGAGGGAACTATTTCAACCCAGACAGATTCTACAAGGGGCATATCCAAAGTTATATCTCACCTTGGGATTGATTTTAAAGATTGCTGGTGTAAAGAGCTGCTCCTCCCGTCAGGGTAATGGAGAATCAGTATGGAAGATACCGTAGTCAGGTAGTTCAGTGTTGGCTACATTATCTATATTTAGCCTAGTTTCTGTAATTCCAGCCCTATGATATCTGGTTGCATACTTAAGGAACACAAGAGATCTTAGAAAGTAGGTTTAAATTTTTAAGTAAGCTTCTAATATTACAGTGAGGGAATGAATGGTCTTTTTACCCAATCTACTTACATCTTTATTTAAACTGGGAGTATCATGGTAGTGAGATTCAGAATAAATTAGCATATGATCAGGGTTAGCTTCATCAAATTTATCAGGATTAGGTAATATGTTCTATAAATCAAGATATTTCAAATTATGTATTTGTAAATAGCTTGATCCGGTTAGAATATGAAACTTTCTGTCATCTAAACTATAAAATGGCAATACTTGTAGACTACTGAGAGTCATCATAATTATCAGTATAAGTAAGCTGTAAACAAAAGTTGTAGCGATAAGTGCATGATCGAAGGTTGATAAGAGACATAAGGTAGCAAAGTTATCACGTTACTTCCAGCTGACAAGCAGTATCATCACTGTTAACATTGTTAGTCATAACAATTAAGTTAATGAGAATGTATGGGGTCAGGAATGATGCAAGAACATGTAGGAAACTGTTGATGAACCAACATGGTGGGAAAAATCCTCCTTTTAAGCTGCTATATTTCCTCCTTGATTCCTTGAAAACTCCTGTATTTCTAGTTATGGCCAATTTCCTCTTTTTTGTTTTTTGTTTTTTGGAAATATGCTTGGGATGTATGGTTGAATAAGCTAAAACTTTTCCCAATTCAGTGCCAACTTCTTTCTCTATCAAGAGGAAAATTTATGTTTTGTCAAGGAATAATAATTCCCCTATCATCAACAGCACAAAATTTTCTCTTGATCATCCCAATTTCTCTCTGACCATTCCACATCATCAATGGTGTTCATAGTTTGCATTTCCAATACTTGCCACAATTTGGAACGGTTTGAAATTCCTCCTCATCTGACAGTTTCTGAAATGAAAACAAGCTTAAAGTAGATCAAATATTAGAAAATGGTGTACTATTGTAATACTTTAGACCAATTTATTTAATGGAGGCAGATGAATTTAACGTGTTGTAAGTCGAGAGAAGAGTGAATGTTTGAACCTTATACCATGAGGGGGAAAAAAAAAATAACATTTTAGAGGGGTGACCTTAAATTGAGTTTCAACTTTATTCATTTGGATTTAACTAATTTTTGCCATCATGGTAATAATTTTTATTTTGGCTGAATCTTCATTTTGCTTGATTTACAAACATATCCTGTTATCAAAAAGTTAATAATTATGTACTAGCTGCCATGTTAAATATGAGATATCCGATAAATTTTAAAGCTGTTGACAGATATTTACAAACTTACAGTCTACCCATCAGAACCAGACGAAGAAGACAGGGTCATAATTGAAAGTGGTTCGTCTGAGGATGAGGATGAGAGTCCTGATGATGAACCATGTGTCAGTGGACAAAATGTGGCTGGTTAGTAAAATGCCATTTTTTTTGTTTTTGTTTTTGTTATCATCAGCACAACTGTTATACATTACCCTGCTAATCCCCTGAGCTTTCCACACATAGCCATTTGTAACCCACCCTAGGATAGGCAAGTGGCTGGGCTGCTGCGGGCATTAGCCGTGACCTTAACCTCCCTGCATTTTCGTTGGCCAGGCTGGCTTTAAGGTGTGCAGCGAAAACCTCGCCATCAGGTTTTTGCAGTGTCGATTGAGCCATCTCCCCGAAAGGCATACTTTTGACACTCACCACCCTCCAGCCGCGAAGTGTTAGCCCAAAGGCTGAGGTGTGATGGGGTACAAGCCTGACTACCGATACAGCAATGCAGGCTTTCAACCACATTGAATAAGACAAGCCCCTTCCAGCCCCTGAGAAAATTGCCTATCCTTCCCACCTTTGAGCTTTCCACCTAGAACCATTTGCAACACACCCTCGGATAGGTTAGTTGCTGGGCTGCGTGCACTCACTTGTCTAGACATGAAACCCCTTGCACTTTCATCGGCCAGGCTGGCTTCAGGGCGGGTGATGCGCGACTTCAAAGGAAGGCTGGAGGTCCTATTCAAGATATAGCAGAAAAATTCAAATACTAAGATAAGCAAGAAGACCTGGCTCACAATTTGGACAACCTGGGATGAAAATGGATTTGGTTCGGATATTGTGAGCAACGAAGCCAAGGAAGTTGGTGTGAAGCGGAAGAAGTTTTTCGCTGGGGTGAGAAAGGACGGTTCGGACTATAACTGAGCCAGACAGTTTGCAGGTAATGTTAGCGTGCTTGCTGGACTGTCATTTAAAGGAAGTAGGTAGCAGTATTTCCATTATCAAGAGCAGAGAGCTTGCTAGCAGCTGCAAAGTACTCGAAGCGAAAGCTCGCTTCCTTTGTGAACAGGGCTCAGTACGGCAAACTTCTCCAGTCATCAAAGGACTGACCACTGAAGATGATGAACTGTTGTGATGTAGAGGGTTCGTAATATTTCAAAACTCCTCAAATATCTCTCACCGCTTCGCGGCTCGTAATATTTCAGTAAATTTTGAAATATCGCTCGCGATGTTTATCCCTTTAGAAACCATTCTATATCCTTAAGCTGGCGTCTCAAGCGTTTGCCCTTTGCGTGTAGATTTGCTTTGGAGAACGGCTTTAAGTTTGAATCATCAACTGCCTAATATCTCTCGTAATAGAAACAAATTCTTTAGTAAGTAAACCCCATCAGGCGGCTGGTATGTCGGCTGATAATGTCCGCGGCCTATGTACCATGCTAGCTTCTCGTTATTCTTCGTCATCATTTTGTTGCCTGTGAAAGTAGGAACTGGGATCGACGCAATCTTTATTTCCAGTCTGCCTAAACCTTCCGACGATAAACGACTCATTATTGCGATAACTTTCTTCCTTCAAAAACGATGCAAAATATTGACAATAGACTGAACCAAGGATCGAATTTGACCATGTACCAATAAAGTCATAACTCTGGTAATTTTCCTTCAAGAAAACAAAATTAAAAACAGGCCGATTATGCTGGCAGTACCACTTTTATAAAGAGAGCAAAAATTATTCGGCCCCAATTTTCAAAATTATGCCAAAAATTATGCTAGGACAATGTATAAAGGTAAAGTTATAACTTGAAATACCTCCCACCGTCACAGCAGCAAAGTTTGTTTGAAACTTAGCCCCTTCAATCAATTTTTAGGCTTGTTTGACACCTGAACGTATCATACATTTTATCCTATAAGAAAATTTTAAGAGAAGAGTTTTTATGATTTTTAATTTGCTAATGTCAAAGCGGTACTCTGAAACTCCTCTATAACTTCCGGTACCTCATATCGCACTTCCGCCTCCGTTCTACCTTCGCTAGTTTCCAGCTCGAGGCTGTTCTCGCGGTGTGTGACAAAATGGCGGATACCAACAGCAGCGATGGAACAGGAGAAAGGTAAGGAAAGCTCGTTACATTGTCATCAAACGCTATTTTGACACCTACGAGATGAGGCTTGTAAATTCTTCACTGTGTTTTTCTGGGTTTAAATTGAATGAAATCAATTTTACAGGTGTTGATAGATAAACTAGTACTGTACCGTGAGCTTACTTCACTCGCTTCACCGGCGTGAACTTCAAATGTCAGACTTCTTTTGAAAAAAAAAAAGAACTAGGAAAACCTTACGAATTTGTTTATATGAAAGCAGCTCGATAGAATTTAAACAATGGAATTCGCAGTGAAATCACTGCGACAAAGAAGCGTTGTTTTGGCGGGGAGAGTTGATTCGGTAGGATCTGGTGGAGGCAGTGACATAAATCTCTTTTCAGTTTAACGGTATCATTCAACTAGTTGACTTCAAATGTCGTAGTAGTTAAATGCTCTTACCACAGGCATTGAGGGATGGCGGGATAACGTTCTGTAAACATGTAAAAACTTCATTGGTGCAGTTTTGACTTTAAACCCAGGGCCCCTCTGGATATCAGCCTCGTTGCTGAATGGGCCACCCTGACT